GGTGTCAAGATTCTAATCTATTCGATACGAAATCAAAGAATATAGTTACGTAGAAATATTTCTTATATTGGATACTTTTTAAAGTTATATAAGATATATATATTATGTAAGTTGAAGTATAATTACAGAGACTATAATATGTATAATTACTTTTTTTAAACATTTCCCGAAGTAAGCATAAGGCTAGAAATATAGGTTTATTTGCCGATATTAAATATGAATACAACATAATAACGTCCATCATATTTATCACGACATCTATTAATGACCTTAGTCAATATATGCTACACTGAATACTTATTATAATATCAATATTGAAAGAATCATCATCAGTTTGAGGTGCTCTTTCAAACTAGCAAGATCGTAATCATACTAAATTCGTTGTGATAATGTTCATTAGCTATTGTTAATTATTACAAAGCCTTTACCTTAATTATCTTAAACACATATATAGGGTAAGTTTCAAAATAGAAAAAATTTGCAGAATTTGGCGTTAAATGTACAGCAAAATATGTAAAGCATATTTAAATAATTTACGTTATTTAAATAATTTGTGTTATTCAAATAATTTGCTGAAAACAAAGGTAGTTCTGTTTATTATCTTTACGCAGTTATCAATATCATTGCATCTTCTTTTAAATTAAGTTATTACTATATTATAAGATTGAACTACATTTTTATACAAATAAATTTATAACAATAAATTCGGCTCGTGATTATAAAATAATATAATAATACGTTTGAATGATTAAAAATGTGCAAAAGATAGAGATCTTCAATTAATAATAATAAAAATTTAATATGTCAGTTTAAAATTAACAAAATACAAACGAAACTGTATGCTAAGTCTCTTCTAATCTGTTTAAATAGGTATTATTCTAAGAGAATAATTAAGAACAAAATTAGGTCTTTTATAAACAACTAACGATTTATTTTGTACACGATAATATAAACAGAATTAAAATAATATAATGCATAATATAATACAGTAATATAACGCAATAAAGTGTCATAAAGATTAAAAGAATAAAAATTGATCGCTGTAACGATAATAAAAGTAAAAGTGTAAAACATCACACAATTGATCTGCTTAATACATTACAATCGAGCTTGGACTGATTCTCTTCCTCTCTGCCACACCTAGAAAGAAATATTTAGGTGAAATTCAAAACTGTAAGGCCGAGAAAGAG